GATCACTCCCATTTTGAAAAGGAGGCCACTGGGGCTCAGAGGGATAACTCTCCTGAGGTCACACAGCCAGTGAATAGGAGAGGATGATTTGAACCCAGGCTTGACTCACTCCAGGGCACATACTCTATAAACATTAGCTGTTAGACCACCACTCATACCTTCTCCAGGAGGCCTCATCCTGCCAGAACTCGTACAGGGTGAAGGAGGCATTGTCCAGCATCTTCTGGGCAGACACACTGCAGGGCCAAAGAGACGGCCAGGCCAGGCCTGGGCTGCCACCACCTCTGCCCACCTAGCCAGGGGTGTCTAACGAGAGCCCTGGCCCGGGACGCTCAGTCCCAGCATTCCTCGTGCTCACCCCCCACCCCGACCTTGGCCGGCCCACCACCCAGCTGAGGACTCACTGCAGGCAATGGCTCTGGGCCCCTGTGAAGTCCACGTAGCAGCACAGGGCATGGTGGAAGTCCTGCAGGGCTTCCTCTGCCACCTGCACCTGCCTTTGGGCCACGAGGATGTGCTGGCAAGAGAGGCAGCCTGGTCAGCTGGGGTGCGGTAGGGCAGGGCATGGGGTGAGGGACTGCTGTGGCCTCCAGGACGACCCCGCCCTTCTTGTCCTGCACCAGACCCAGCCAACCCTGAGGTCGGGCTCCTGCCCCAGCCTGGCCCCCAGCTTCCCTGACTCCATCCTCCTCTTCCCATCACCAAGGTTGCTGCCTCGATCCAGCCACTGTCCCACTCTCCTGCAGTATGGCACCACTTCCTCCTGCCCCCTTTAGCCTCTGTCCACACTGCTCCAGACCCAGCTTTCAGAACTGTAGACAAGGGACACTGACGCCCATGGAAGGACAGAGTTCTGCAGGGTCACAGAGCAAAGGGCCAGAACCCAGCACCTGCCTGCCAGGCCCAGGGGACAAGGGCTGGGTCAAGCCTGGAGAAGGGGGCATATGTACAAGACAGAGGCTGGGGGCAGCTGGCCGTGAACCTCCTCACTTCATGATCTCCTCCCGAACTCCCACACCCAGCTGCCTGCCCCTCTCACACACTCACCGAGTTGGGCCCCTGGGTAAACTCCTCTTCATGCAGGGGTTCCAGCCGGGGGGCCTGTGAGGGACGCAGAGCATGGCCAGGTCCCTGGCGTGTGCCTGGCTTGGGTGGATTCCCAAAAGGTCCACAGGCACGGGGCACTGGCCACACGGCCACTCACCTTGCACTCCAGCTGGTCGATGAGCTCCTGGAGACGGTTGATCTGGAGCCGCCAGTGCATCTCAGCCTCTGAGCTCTGCCCTGGGGGTCAGGCACGGGCCCCCTCAGGCTGGGGGCTTCTTGGGATGAATTGAGGGAAAGTGGAGGAGCAAACACTGGGGCCCTGGGGGATGCCGTGCCCTCCCATCCCACCGCAGGCACACCCACCTGTGTCAGAGGAGCCAGGAGACCAGGTGGGTGACCGACTGACACTCCGCAGGGCCCTGCGCCCTGCCCGCCGGCTGCCTCGGGGCCTGCTCTGCACCTCCACCCTCTCTTCATCTGACCTGAGGGGAGTGGAGGGTCAGCCCACTGCTCCCAGACTCACGGGGCCAAGCTCTGGGGCCCCAGCACGGGCCTGGGTGGGTAAGACAGGCTTCCCGGGACACTGAGGCCCAGCCTCAAAGCCAGCCACCCCTGCTCACCCCTCTTGGCCTCCCTAAGAACAAGAATTTGGGCTCCAGGATGCTAGAACATGGAACATGATAAAAGCTGAGGGCCTTGACACATGGAGATATGGGGCATTCATGAACCGGACCCACAGGTGGGCAGAGCTCCTCACACACCGTGGGCCATGGGCCTGGGCCTCCAGGGTATCTGACGCCCCCTCCAGCGAGCTCTGCAGGGCTTGGAGCTGGCTCACCGTCTCCCGCAATAGGAAGCGTGTCACAAACTGGTCCACCTTGGAGGCCCGCTCATACTCCTGGGGGCAGAGGGGGCATGGTCAGCATCTCCTGGCTCCAAGCATGTATTTCTGAATGGGGAGCTGCCCCCTGCGCCCCACCCCCTGCTCATCAGAGCAACAGTGGCAGCCTAAAGAGCAGAGGACATGCAGACCTGGCATAAGCAGAAAGGCACTGGGACTCGGTGGGGAGCAGACGCCGGACCCCCTCCTTGTCTGGGCCTGGCCTCTCTTACTGGGAGGTATGAGGCCAGCTCACAGAGAAGCATCTGCCATTCTCTGGCCCTCAAGGCCCTTTCCCTGTTGGGGCTCCCACCTTCAGCCATTGAGGCCGCAGGCACAGCTAGACTGGGCTGGGTCGGGTGGGGCAGGGCAATTTTGACCCACAAGGCAAAATGACAGTGTGATATGGTGCAATACTCACCAGCTGGCCCCAAACTCACAGGCTTAGTATTCATTCATTCATCCATTCATTCATTCACTCATCCATGCAACAAACCTTTACTGAGCACCTCTTACTAGGAGCTGCAGATACAAGACAGCAGGTCGCTGGCCTCACACACACACACCAGCACTGATCCCCGTCTACACTGCCATTTCCCCCCAGCCCTTGCCAAGGCAGGCAGAAACAGGGAGGACCACCATGTGCCAGGCCCTGTGCTGCCCACCTGGAACGCTCAGAGACTCCCCAGCTACCTTCATCTCCTTGTGCCTCAGTTTCCTCACCTATAAAACAGGGATGGTAATAGCCATCTCGCTGAGCTGTTGAGAGGCTCCAGTGAGTTATCTCCTACCTAGGGCTCAGCCTAGTACCTGGCACATAAGTTCTCAATAAAGAACTGCCATTGTTTTCATTGTCAAACATAATTCTAACAAGAAACCTGCCCACTCCACCTGTACACAGTACAGGGTGGGAGTCCTGGGGAGCTGTGGTGCCCCCCTCCACAAGGGGCTCCAGAGGCACCCTACATCAAGGGCTTCGTCTTCTGCCCATAGCCTGCCTCAATTCAGCCATCAGATGGGCAGGGACAGAGGTGGGGCTGGGACCTCTCATTCTCAGACAGGCCAGTGGTTTCTCCAAGCCTGATCTCTAGACTTCCTGGCCGTTCTTTGAGCTTCCCGAAATCCTTCCAATAAATTCCCTTGCTGGTGCTTAAGATGACTGATCCGTTTCTGTTGTTTACAACCAAAGAACCTGGCTGACACAAGCACCCATTCTGCGTCAGGCCCTGTTTCTAAGCAGAGTTTCATTTAACCCTCGTAATAATTTACAGGAAACATAATTGACCCCATTTTGCATATGAAAAGACTGAAGCCTACAGAAGTTGATTACCTTGGCCAAGGTCACACAACTAGTTAGCGGCAGAGTCAGAATTCAAACCCAGGTCACAGAAATTCCTCTCCTCACCACTAAGCACCTTACAAGCATCGCCTCACTTACGGTCATTAGCCCAGTTTTACAGCTGAGAAACCAAGGCCAGAAGTCACAGACAGAGTAAATGGAGCCGAGCTTGGCCCGTGTGTTCTGGGAGGAGCAGCTCGGAGCCGGGAGCTGGTAAGGTCGACCTATGAGGTCACAATGTGGCCTCTCTGGGACAGAGCCTGGGCAGGGACCCCCAGCCAGAGAGAGGGCAGGGCAGAGGCAGCATGGGCCGGGCCCCCCCAGTGGTGACCAGCCCTGCCATGGGAAACAACAGTTCCCACAAGAGGACCAAAGTGCCCAAGCAGGCCCGCAAGGAGAGGCCACCTGACATGGACAAGGCCTGGCGGAAACAGCAGTTCTTCAACCACCTCAAGTGGAAGAAGCCGAGTGTGAGTCCCAGGAGGGCAAGGGGCAGATGGAGTTCAGGGGACCTGGACAGGTGGACAGGAGGGGATGCTGAGACTCTAGGCCTTGTGGGGCATGGAAGGGGTTAGAGAACCCCTTCTGAGGATGAGGATCCCAGGAACCCACGTGGGTGTGGATGGGGTCCTAATAACCCAGAAGGGAGAGCAGGTATTGCAGAAACCAGGAGGTGGATGAGACTTGGGAGCCTAGGAGGGGGAGCAGGAGGGGATTCTCCCAACGGTGGACAGACGGGTGGAGGTCCTGGCATGGCGAATCAGCCCTAGCTGGTGCCACTGGGGCTATGGGCACAGGGAGTTCCCTTATGCCCCCTTTCCATTCCCCCTCCTCAAGTGGGCAGAGGCCCTGGACAGGGTCCGGGGTGGGTGAGGGTCTCAGCATCGAGGCTGGGAGGGCAGGCAGCGTATTTCATAAACGTGACCGGAGTGAGGTCTCAGGAGGTCAGCCTGGCGGGGGCGGGGGTGAGGGTTTCCAGAGGGGAGGCAGGATCCCGGGCAAGGGGGGCAGGGTGCCTGCCTCCCCCACCTCCCCCTGCCCGGGCTGGGAGGATGGCAGGAGTCCCGGGTGGGTGAGGGTCCCCGATAGGAAGGTGGGGGGTGCTCTTTCCCCTCACGCCCCTGCCTCACCCCCAGACCAAGATCGTGCTGCTTTTCCCCCTGGACAAGCGGCAGCAGCTAGCCGAGCCGACGGCGGGCCCCGGCGCGCGGCCCGGGCGGCCGGGTGAGGACGCGGCGGGCACCCCCTTGGGCTCCCAGGCGGCGGCGCCCACGTTGCAAGGTGCGGGCGACGGCGCTGAGCGGCGCGAGAGCGCGCGTGGGCGCGAAACGAAGACGATTCTAGTCAAGCTGCTGCTGCTGGAGGCACAGCTGCAGCAGGAGGAGCGCCGCGTGGCGGGTGGGCCCGGGGGCGGGCCCGGCGCGGGGGGCGGGGCCAAGGCCGCGCATGGCTGGCGGTGGCTCATCGCCGGTCTGCTGACCAAGAGCAAGGCTGGCCGCTACGCCTACCCTGCCTAGGAGCAGCCGAGCAAGCGGCGCCGCTGCCCTCGCCCGCGGCACTGAGTGCCTGGCCCGGACCTCCGGACCCCAGTCCATACCAATAAAGAGCGCATAGCAACCCTGGCGCCTGTAGCCCTCCCTGTCTGAGGCATCGGGGCGTAGAGCTGGGGTGGGGGAAACTGAGGCCCTGAGCGAGACAGGGGAGAACAGGCGTATTGAAGGCAGAGCCACAGCCATGGCCTGGAGCCAAGGCGGTTTTTGCTTCCTCCTTTCTTGTGACCCAAGAGTCAGAACCCCAATTCCAGGCTGGCGGGGCGGGGTGGGGTGGGGTCACCGTGCCACAGTGGAGGGAGGCTGCTCCTCTCCCCTCCAGCTCCAGGCCCGGGTCAGATCCTGACGGCTCTGCAGGCCCAATGGAAGAGAGCTTGGGCAAACCCAGGCTTGGCCACGCTAGGAGGAGGGGCCTGCTTCCAGCAGAGGCCAGGCAGCTCCAAGAGTCTCCAGCACTCACAGGTCCTTCTTAAGCTGAGGGAAGGTCCCAGGCAAAAAGCCACCACCTTGGGGAAGAACTGTGAAGGTCTCATGGTCAGCATAGTTTGAGGCTTAGACTCAACGTTCTGCCTGTGAGAGCACCCAGGAGGAGAGGCTGGGGTCCCTGGTCCTCTGACCCCTCACTCCTAACCCACTCTGCTTGGTAACCCTCAAGGCACCTCAGTGACTTGTCTCCCAAATTACCCTGTCCCATCCTCTTCCCCACATTGCAACCAAAGCCTTCTTCCAAACCACTGATCTGTAGGGCAGTTCACGCTCCCGCTCATAAGCTCACACTGGTTCTCCACTGTGCCCAAACTCATTACTGGGATGCACAGGTCCAGACCCCCAGCCTTGGTCTTCGCCTCTAGGGCTTCTTAGTGACTTCCACCCTCACCCCTGCTCTGGCCATATTGCCACTTGTGGTCTTCAATTCGAGGTTCACCTCCCTAATTCACTCACAGAGGCCCTGCATGCTTTCTGTGGGCGGGACCCAGCTGCTTCTCTCTCTCCTGTGTCCCAAACCCAGCTCCGGACCCTAACCCCTCCAGCCCTGCCAAACCTGCAGCCTGCATTCCACTGGAGACCAACATCAGAATGCCCCCTTTGGGGGCAGATGCATCAGGGGTGAAGGTCCCAGTTCACTAAAACCACAGGCACAGCCTCTGCTGCAGATACACTTTTGTCAGTGTCAACACCACATCACCTGCATCAGGCTGGAGGCTGTACTACCCATAGCATCTCCCCTGGTGCTTTGTGAGAACTGACCCTTTCCTACCATCCACATGGTTACAATCAGGGTAACCACGTTCCTCGATGTGGCCACACCTCCTGGCATAAGCAATTGGCCCAAGCTGGTCCTATCAGCCCCTTCCCTAGGTCTGTAATTTAGGAGCTGTAGGAGACTATGTTTTCTACAGGAACGTGCACAGGCTGAAGCCAGTCTCGAGAAGAATATAACCAGAACGCAGAGCCAGTGCACATCTTGGGTCCCCCACAGGCCGACAGTCAGGCCCTGATTCCAGTCTTTTCCTAAAACCTGATTTCACCCTTGCCTTGGTATCCATAAGACATACAAGACCCTTGTGATAAAAGTCCGTATTTTAGCTTAAGCTCACCGGAATGGGTCTTCAACTTGCATCCAGAATGGTCCTAAAGAGAATAAAGAGACTCTGCAGAGACAAGACGTGGACTATTTCCTGTGTGTGAGGACGACCGCCTTTCGGAGGAAGTAACTGAGCCCAGAGAGAGATTAGGACTTGCTCAGTGCACAATGAGTCAGCCTCAGAACTGAGTCTCAAACTCAGGTCCATGTTTGTAAGCCCCTGAAGGTAGGATCCCTTTGTGGGCTACCTGGGCCCTTGAAGGCTAAGCACACAGAGACCTTCAGGGTGGCTGGAGATCCATAATTAAGAGCTTTCTCTTCAGCGTTGAGAGGGAAGGGGCCGCACATTTGGCCAGAGCACATCAGATAATCCGAAGTGGTTTGGGGAAGGAATCAAATTGGTTGGGCTGGGCGGCTGAGGCCAGACCCCTGGATGTCAAAATCACTGCCCTTGACCCTGTCCCAGGAGAGAGGATGGGTCTGAGGTGTTTTCATCAGGGTAGAGGCTGCGAAAGCACGGCAGGTGCTGAGAACTGAGGTCACAATGAGTCCAAGTTCTTTTCCTTCCTTCTCTGACCACCCCCTCCAAACTCCACGACCAGGAGCTACAATACTTGGGTCAAACCCAGTTGAGAAGTGCCAGGAGACCGCCAGGGTCTCAAGGGCTGGGCTGGACTCCTGGGTCCCCAAGGGGGATATATGTCTGGAAAACATTGCCACAAGACCCCTTCATTCTCAGAGCTGCTCCTGGAGGCTTCTCAATCTCTTAAAGCGGCCCTCTCATCGTCCACCTCAGCAAGGGCTTACTTAGGGGGCGGAGCCGCACCACCCAGGCGAGTCCTCAGAGAGGGGGTGGGGCCTTGAGCCAGAGGAGGACCAAGAGGGACTGAGCCAGAACCCACTTAGGGCGGAGACTGACACTTGAACCAAAGGTTGGGCCTCAGGCCCGGGGGCGGAGCCAAGACCTGAAAAGAGACCTCCACTCCGGCCAGAAGAGCGGGACTTCAGGACCAGAGGGCGGAGCCCAAGGAATGAGAGCGATAGTTCTCTAGCGCAGAAAGGCGGGGATGTAGGCCCACGAAGCAGAGCCAAGAGCTGAAAGGCGGGCCACCATCAAGTCCAGCTGAGGCGGGGTTCTCACGCCGGGGGCGGAGCTTTGGGCTGAAGGGCGTGGCCGGCCCGAAGGTGGCGTCGCTGTCCGGGAGCCGCCGGGTCCGCCGGCTGCCCTCGCTGGGCCGCGTAGCGGTGGTGGTGGACCAGGGCTCGGGCTTCACCAAGGCGGGCTTCGCGGGCAAGGAGCAGCCGCGCCTGGTACTGAAGAGCTCCAGCCTGGTGCCCAGCTGGGACCGGCCCGTGCTGCCCGGGGCGCCCGGCTATGAGCTGGCGGGCGGCGTGGCGCGGGCGCACCCCATCAAGCACGGCGTGGTGGTGGACTGGGAGGCGCTGGAGGGGCTGTGGGAGCGCCTGCTGGTGGGCGGCCTGCGGGTGTGCCCAGAGCAGTGGCCGGTGCTGGTGAGCGACTCGCCGTCGGCTCCGCCCGCGGGCCGCGAGAGGTTGGCCGAGCTGCTGCTGTTCGAGGCCCTGGCAGTGCCCGCGTGCCACATAGCCAGCACCGCGTTGCTGGCGCTCTACTCTGTCGGCGCGTTCAGCGGGCTGGCCTTGGAGGCGGGCGCTGGCGTGTGCCACGCCACACCCATCTATGCGGGCCACTCGTGGCACGAGACCACCTTCCGGCTGGACGTGGCAGGCAGTACTCTGTCGCGCTACCTGCGGGACCTGCTGGTGGCAGCCTGCCCCGATCAACGACTGCATGCCCTGCCCCGCAAGGTCATCACACAGCTCAAGAAGCGCTGCTGCTATGTGTCGCTGGACTTCGAGGGTGACCTCCGTAACCCTGCCCGCCACCATCCTGTCAGTTTCTACTTAGGCAATGGGTGCTCTGTCTGCCTCAGCAGTGAGCGCTTCCGCTGCCCGGAACCTATCTTCCAGCCGGGTCTGCTAGGCCAGGCTGAGCCGGGACTGCCCACCCTGGCCTTCCGGGCACTGCGGAGGACGCCCGCAACACTACGGACACGGCTGGCCAACACCGTGGTGCTGGCCGGTGGCTCCACGCTTTTCCCTGGCTTCACTGAGCGCCTGGAGATGGAGCTGGAAGCCCAGTGCCGGCGGCATGGTTATGGGGCACTGCAGCCTCGCCTGGTGGCCAAACCCGGGCGTGGCCCAGCAGTGTGGACAGGCAGCTCCATGGTGGCCTCACTGCGTTCCTTCCAATGCCACTGGATGACCCGGGCCATGTACCAGGAATGTGGCTCCAGGCTGGTGCATGAAGTGTTCAACTGACTCATGTTGGACTGGGGGTGGGGTGCAGAGGCAGACACCTGGCAGGCTGAGCTGCAGCTCTATCAGAGGCATTGAGTGCCAGATAAAAGGCTCAGTGATCGGAGCTGGCAGAGTCGTGTGGTGATGGGTCACGCTCTACCCCTTTCTGGGCCAGGAGGAGGTGGTCAGGACCCCTGGGGCCCTTACTTTGACCTGCAGTTTGAATCCCCACTAACCAGTGCCAGTTCAGAGAATGCCGGTCTAGGGGCCCACCCCCAGGGCCCTGTTTCCATGGCAACAAGGAAAGCGATGCCCCCACCTGTGTCCAGGCCACAGATATGGAAGTCATCATAACATACCAACCCCTCATCATATACCATTTGGATTCCCATCCCATGCCAGGCCCCAAGGGGTGACCGTTTGAAAAACTACTAAATCCCATGTGAAAGCAACCAGAAGGGGAAGCCCTGTCCTCAGATGATCATCAACTTGCTGAGAGCCTCAAAGTGAGGTCAGGCACAATCCCAGGCCTGCTCACTGTTCCCTCCTCACCCCCTTAGGTGGAGACATTTCTTAAAAAGAACACAGAGGGAGGGGTGCCTTTTGGTGTTTTTAAAATACCATCCAAGGGCCTGGAGCCCGGGCCATGAGCACTGTTTATGCTTGTGCGCACGTGTCCATACACAGACACCAACACATGGGTGCACACATGCCTGCCTACTCATGCATGTCCTTAGGCTGCCCCCCAACCAAGCTCCACACACCAGTACGAGCGTCTGGATGTGTGTGAGCGTGCCCTCCCCCACAGCCCATCCCTGCTGGGAGCTGGCCTTCATACCCCACAACAGTTAGGTCTGGTCAATAATAAAAGCAGTAGCAGCAGCAGCTCCAGGTGTGACGTGGCTACTGCGTGCCAGGCAGAGGTCTCGGTGCTGGGAATAGAGTAGAGAACAAGACAGACAAAAATCCCTGCCTTCATTCTCGTTTAATTGTCACAACAAATGTCTGGAGGTAGGTTCTATTATAATGCCCAGTTTACAGATGAGGAAACTGAGGCCCAGAGAGGTAAAGATGCACAGCCAGAAAGTGGGAGCCGGGATCAGAACCCAGGCCTCTAGCTCCACAGCCCTGAGCCCAGTGGTGGAGGCTGCCATAGCACAGCAGACACCCCGTGCCCTCATTTTGGGCCACCCACCATCAGCCCCTCCACTCACCAGCTTGGTGGTGTCCATGGCAGTGAGCACTGCACAGTTCAGCGACTCCAGTGCAGCCAGCACAGGCCGATAGACGCCCAGGTGTTCAGAGAAGTAGTCTGAGGGCAGAGGAGGTGCTCAAAGGTTCCCGGACCCCCACGCCCCCACTTACAAGCTGGAATTCCCCAGCAGCCAACCAGGCCTCATACCCTGAGCCCAGCCGATCCTGTTCCATGGGACACCAGCAACAGCCTCTCATCACACCCACCTGCCCAGGGGTCCCGGGAGACAAGAGCTCCCATGGGCCTACTCACCACACAGTTTCTCCGTTTCCAAATTGCTACAGGGAAAAGAGAAGGCGCCCTTCAGACCCGCTGACTTGGGCCTGGTAAACTGGGACTTTGAAGCCAATGTTCCTCTCCTCTTCCTGCCCAGCTCACGCTGACAAGGAGGCAACTTCTGACTCCACCCCAGGTTAAGTTGCTCAGTGGACAGAGAGGGGGAGCACGGGTACTATCAGCCCGCCAAACACTCCCTGAGGGCAAAATTTCAGTCCCACTCTCTGCCTCCAAAGGGGTTTCAGGCCGGGGAGGCAGATATGAACACAGGCCAGAGAGGAGTGGTTAGAGCTGGGAAGGGGGAGCCAGGCCCCAGGTCTGTGGAAATGCAGAGAAGGCATGGAGTATTACTTGGTAGGTCAGGGAGGGCTTCCTGGAGGAGGGGCTGCCTAAGTTAGGCCTTGAAGGAGAAGAAATCTGACTGGAGTATCTGGTGGTGGTTAGGTGGTAGCACTGCAGACAAAGGGTCCAGCCCAAGCCTGAGGACATGGGAGGACATGGGAGCCTAGGATTTATTCTAAGGAGATGGGGGGAAGGGGAGTAAGAGGGAGGGATAGCTGTGCATGTGTGTGCACCCATGTGAGGAAGCAGGAGAGAAGGCAAGCAAACTCGCACTAAGGCCTGTAGATGTGGAAGCACCTGCATCCATGGGTGGAAGCAGGCGGGGGCCAGCTGTCCCCAGGCATCCTCTGGTCCCTGCAGGAAGCAGGAGTTGGAAGAGGGGACACCTGTGGGCTGAACCATAGGTGGTGACTCAGGCCTGGCTATTTTGGGGGTCCCAGCTGGAAGCAGTGTGATGAGCAAGGCTGGAGCCAGGGAGGGGGTAGGTGGGTGGGTAAAGTTGGCACTGAGCCCTGGCACCCCTCTCCCTCTGCCCCCCTCATCCTCCATAAGGAACCAAAGCAGCAGGAGACACAGTGGGGTTGGGACAGCCTGGCCTCACATCTACATGCGGTGCACACATCCCCCTTGAGTACTCACTCAGCGGGATGCCCATCAATACTGCTGAACAGCTCTCGCAGCTCCCCGGGGCTGAGAACCCCATCGGCAAAGTAATTCTGGAATTCTTCAAATGAGAGCTTACCATCATCTGGGCGGGGTGGGTGGACAGAGAGCCGAGTCAGTATCCCTGACCCTGGCTGAACCCCTGCCACAAGATCCAGGCCCACTGAAGGCTTTGCAGCATCTCACAAACACCCAGCCAAGTGGAATGGGATTCTGAGCTTATGGGAGGCCTGGCCATTGAGGACAAAAGGGCTGGGGCCCCCAGAGGTGCCCATTTAAGGCAACAGGGCCCACTTTGCAGGCACCCAAGGGACAGGGCAGTACACATGTGGCACTGGGTACGGACTCAATGTTTGCCAAATGAAGAAACAAATGAACAACAGCCTGGGTCACAGTCAGATCATGGCAGGGCCAGATGTCACTTGGAGGACTCGGGGCTGGGTCTCTGCCCCACATGCTGGCCAGTGTGGCTCCAGGGTGGAGGGGACCTCCGTGCTCTGGACCCAGGCCGTTCACAGAGAAGCCACAGGGAGTCAGATAAGATCTTCCTAAGAGTGGAGCCCCTGTAAGTAGCAGCAGGCTGGCTCAGGAGGGAAAGGCCTCCCCATCCACAGGGCACATGTAGCAGAGGCCGAGTGTTACCTGTGAGGTCTCTAAGCAGATGGGGTGGGGAGAGTGGAGCTGGGGGAGGGTCAGAACTTCCCCAGACAAGATGCTGTGATCCAAATGAGACCATGTGCCCTGATGAACCGGTTGGAACAAATGGTCTCCACCAATTTGAAGAGACCCAGGGAGAAGGGGCAAGGGGTGGGGACACAATCCTCTCTCAAGGAGGCTGAAACATAAACAGGTCTGAAGCCCCCAGCTGAAAGTGAGGTCAAGGCTGACGGGCTGTCTCAGCTCAGACCCTCCACTGGCCAATCAAGGCACCGTGGGCTGCTCTGAGTCATCTATGCACAGCAACCTGCCTGCAGGGTCTCCTAATGGCTCCTGCTTTAGCTTTCAAGGTTTTGCCAGACAAGAGTCTGAGACTGCCCAGGACCCAGGGCAGGAGGAGCTGATTCCCTGGACCTAGCTTTATCCTGCCCAAGCCCTCCCTGTGTCCAGATGGTTGGTAATGTGGAAAGTTACTGAGCACTCTAAAAATCTAAGATAAAACCCCCCACAGGGCCTCATCTCCATGACCACACCCTTCCAAGCCCCTCACACAGGGAGCCTGGGACCAAGCATCACATTAGACCTGGGTTCAAGGCCCACCACCTCAGGCAGCCTGCTTTACCCCTCTGGGCCCCTGCTCCTTTGTCTGTGAAATGGGGTGAAGAATTCTCACCTAACTTGCAGTTGTGAGGACAACATAAGGTCATATACGAGAAGTACCCCCCAGTGTGCCAGGGCACTGCATGAAAATAAGCCCCCACCTCCAGCCTCTGGCTAGGTTACACTTCCTCCACTCTCCATCCTGCCAAACTTGATTCAAAACAACACTTCTTCCGAGAAGGACACCTGGGTTCATTCTCCTGATTTGGGTCCTCTCAAGATTTTTCTCCATTCTAGACTGTGCCCCCAAACCCCCAACCCTCCCCTGAGCCTCCCTGATGTCCGTCACCCATGCCCCCACTGTGGGACCCAGGGGAAACCACACTCACCATTCTTGTCTGCTCTGCGGAAAACCTAAAGGACAAAAGGGCATGGATGGGAGCTGTGAGCTGGGAGGCAAGAGGCTCCCACCCAACTCAACAGAGCCCCAGGTGGCTGGCCTGCCCCCTGTGTCTCCCTTCCTCCTGCCCAGCTCGGCCCTGCAGGAGCTTTTCCAGCAAGGTGAGCACAGGAAGAGCACACAGCGGGCCCCACTGCTTGCTCACTTCTGCGGGCCTGGCCTCATGGGGGGTGCTCCAAGCCAGCTCTCTGCACCTTCACCTCCCACACCCAGAGTCAGTCCCAAGTTCTGTCTGATGCATCAGCCCTCGAACGGTCCCAGCTTGAGGAAGGTGGGGAGATGGGCCAAGATGCGGCCTGAGTATCCTGGGCACCCATCCCAGACCTGAACCCCAACTCTGCTGTGTGGCTATGGGCTGTCCCAGACTCTGCCCACTCCGCGCTGTGTCTCTGTGAGCTTGTTGAAGACCCTGACATGCAGGTAGTGGCTAGTCCTTTCTTTGTGGGTGACTGTTTTCCCACTAGCACACAGGGGAGCAGCCCAGGGTTAACCCTTCCAGGGCTGGGGCTTCCTATGAGGCCAACTCAGTATGAGGGTCTTGGGCAGGCCTGTGTGCGTGCGTGTGTGTGTGTGTGTGTACGTGCAAGGGTGGACAGACTGTATTCATGGAGAAGCAGACAGGAAGGGCAACAGAGGCAGCAAGAGCGGAGCAGAGTCAAGACTTGGTCCCTGTCTCCCCTAGGGACCAGAGACTCCCAGGTCACCCAAAGCAGCCCATCCAATAGGACACCAGCAGGCCTGGCAAGGAGGGGCAGGCCAAAGCCTGGACATAGAGCCCCTGTCAGCTCCAGGTCCTGAATACCTCTTCCCTCTGGCTGTTTTCTTGGGTCAGTGAGGCTCAGGGATGAATGTAATCCCTAGCCAGAAGCCTGACTCAGAGAAGGTCTGCCACTGGCTCGGGGTCCACACAGCAGCCCAGCAGCCTGGAGATACACGGGGGTAAGAGTGGGGGAGGGGTACTAAGCTGAGAATGAGGATGCCTAGGGCCACACCCTAGTGTGCCCCTGCCTCCATGTGTGATCTCGGACATATCCCTAACCCTCCAGGCCTTGGTTTCTCCATCTGGGAAGTGGGAGGGTCAGGTCCCTTCCAGCTGGGAGGACTGTGGTCAAGTGCTGAGTCACTAGGGACAGTGGGGAGGGGGCAGGAGTACAGCCTTTCCCACTGGCAGGGACCTCTGGGAGTGGGGGCATGAGAGGCACAGGACGGACTGAGGGCTGGGGTGAAAGGTGGGGAAGGGGCTCAGGGCAATGACCGAGGTTGGGCCAGGCTGCTCCACGCTGGTGTCCATAGGGGCTGCAGGGCCACCTGCCAGTCAGGAGAGGGTGTACAGACCACAGAGAGTGACTGTGGGCAGCCCCGACCAACTGTGGGATCCTTGGGTTGGATCTAAGGGACTCTGGGTCAGCACCAGGTCAGGAGTCAGGGGACTGCTTCCTCTTCCAGGCCCCCCTGCCTGGGTCAACCTGGACCCGGGCTGCCATAGAGGGGCACTGTGACTGCTCCTGTGATCAAGGGTTGACGGCCCCCCCGCCCCCGCGGCCAGACACATATATGGGGTTGTTCCGGGTTGGGGGGCAGGAGGGACAGTAACACTGAACCAGAGACAAGGAGAGATAAAGAGAGAAAGAATGAGGGACAGAATGGGACACAAAGGCTGAGAGAGAAAGATAAGGGAGACACACGGAAACAGAGACAGCAGGGTCAGAGAGAGATAGTGAGAGAGGCAGAGACCTAGAGGCAGAGGCAGAGACCCAGAGGCAGCGGCAGGGTCCCCAACAGACCTGGAGGAAGAGAGACGGGCATAGAGACAGGGAAAAGCAGAGTGAGAGAGCCGCAGAGACGGGGGCAGTGAGAGACAGAGTCCAGGGAGACACAGGGAGAGATACGACAGAGACCTGGAGAGACACCGCGAGAGACACCACCCCCAGGGCCACAGCGCCGGCGCCCCCGGCCCGCTCCCCACTCACGTCTTGGAAGAGCGCGTGTCCTGCGGGTCCGGCTGCCGGCGCGGACGCGGGGGGTCGCGGGGGCTCCGGCGCAGGCGGCCGGATCAGGCACACAGTGAGCAGCCCCGCGCACGCCATGGCGCCGCCACCCGTTCGGCTCCGGCTCTATGCGGCTGCGGTCTCTGGACGCCACCGCCGCGGACTTCGGGGCACAGGAAGGGGGGGCGCCCGCCGATCGGCGCCGGCGCGGAGGCTGAGGGCCCCGCCCCCCGAGGCTCCGCCCCCGCCCCCGCCCGGAGGGCCGCCGAGGCCCCCTCCCAGCCCGGCCCCTGCACTGGCCAGTCCGAGAGCTTGGCCCTACGCCAGCCCCTCTCCAGGCCCTCAGCTTCCCCGTCTGGAAAAGGGGAGCAAACTCCAGCCTTTAGGGCGGCAAGAGCCGCGCAATGAATTCCAACAACACCGCTCACCTCTGCGACTCCCCACCTCCCGGGGAGAGGCGGCCACTACGGAGTAAGGAGCCACCCAAGGGGTCATTTGCACCGGGTAAAGGCTGAGCGAATGACGGCCAGCGTGGAGTACTACACAGCCAGGAACAGAACGGGAGGGGCTGCGCTCGCCCACCGAGGGCAGGTCCCGCACCGTTATAGGGTCAACAAAGCAAACGGAAGGAGCACAAGCGCGCCACCTGGTGGACAAAACCCGCAAGTGGCTTCGCCTGTGCGCGTCTGTATCTTCTGCAAAATGGGAGTAAGGGTAGACACATCGTACGACTGTTTTGGGGGCTGACTGACAGTGAAGGGCTTAAAATAGGGACTGGCTCAGGGAAAGCCCACCTAAGGGTTTGCTAAATAGGTCCGTGTGGACCGTCTCCCTCCCTTCCACTCTGAAGCTCTACTCGGGCTTCTCTTCCCCCTGGCTCTTCTGTTCTGGCCCCCTCTTCAACCCATCCTCCACACAGCAGCCAGAGGGAGCTTTTAAAATATAAAACAGGGTGTGTCACTCCTCTCTCAGACTCACCAGGGTCCTTGTCCCCTGAATAAAGCCCAAGACTGAACGTCTCTACGCCTTGGCCCTCACCTCAGGATTCCAGCCACACTGGTTTCTCTCAGGTCCTAAGGGCCCTTTGCCCACGTGGCCCTCTCCTGCTTGGTGTGTTCTTCCTCTTCCTCCTCAGTTAATTTCTTCTATCCTACAGCTTTAGGTCAAGCACCACCTTTTCCAGGAAGCCCTCCCTGATCCTCTCATTTGTTTGAGTCTCCTCCAGCAGGTCCTGAGAGCTCCATGAGGGGAGGGAACGTGTGTCCCCAGAACCTGACACGTAATCAGCCTGTTGTAATTATCTGTTGCATGTTTACAAATGTCCAGAAACATCTGGAAGGAGCATAGCAAACTGATCAGAGTGGCTCCTCTGGGGCTGGAAAAAGGAAGGGAGTTCATTTACTACTTTATCGGACCAGTTTTTAAATTAGGGTAAAAAAGGTGATGAAGCCTACCTTTCTTGGGGTGGTGAGGCTCAAATAAAATGAAGCCAGGCAGGGACAGGGAGAGGGAAGTAGAGAATGGGCATTTTCCCACCAACCTTGACCTCTCCCACCCTCACATTTGCTCCCAGTACATAGTCCCCAAACCGGGCCCAGACATCGTCAAAATATTTATTAAAACCAAAGCAGAGGGAACAGAGCTGTTAGGAAGGCAAATCAAAGTGCAGATTGGAGGGTGGGGCAGAGCAAGAAGTGGGGTGGAAGGGGCACTTCAAATGCCACAGGAGGGGCCCCTGTGGTCTGGGCTGGGGGGGAGGCCCTTCACCCCACCCCTCCCGCCCACCCTGTCAGTGAAGATCCCCCACTCACCTCTCCCATCTCACATCCATCCTGGGGGCAGCTGGGGCCCTGCAGTGACCCCGTGGGAAGAGACCACCCCCTCGATCCACCCATGGCTGTCAGTCAGTCAGTCTGTCTCCCTCCCTCACTTTCCCAATAAATAAACCATTCAGGCCTCAGCTCCTTCAGAGTGGGGCAAAGAACAGCTCAGGGACCCCTGCCCTCGCTCAGGGGTAAGGGAGTTGCGGCATCAGCCCCGCATCCCTCCTACCCTTTGCTGATGCCCCAAGCTTGCCAAAAAGGCCTTGATAAATAAATAACGCTCCATTAAAGCTTCGATCAGAAAAACCTTTAAGACGACAGAAGTGCTCTCGCGGTCCTGCAAACGAGCAGGCCAAGGCCTCGCCACCCGGCCTGGTCAGCACACAGGATTCTGGGGGCAGGTGGCCACCCTGGGCCTCGCGGGGCCCCTGGAGCAAGGAGACCAAAAGTGCAGTTAGAGCCCCCGCCATGCGCACACATGGGCTCATGCACACACACGTGGACACACTGGGGCGTGTTTTCAGTGCACACACAGATGTGTTCACCTTCATTCCCCGGTACATGCACACACACATGCTCACACACCACTCACCCCGTGTACACACGTGTCGGGTGTTGGGTGCATGCACATACACACCACAAACAGAATCCTTCCCTTCCTGGCTTGCTCAGCCTCCTGGCAGTAGCCAGACTCCAGAGCTAGAAGCTTCTGGAGGTAGGGGAGAGGGGTATAAATTAAACGTTTCCAATTGGACTAGGAGGACGGCCAGGGGCAGGGGGCTCCAGGGCTACAGAGACAGGGTGGGCATCCCAGGAGGCCCTGGTCCCCCTAAGCCCCGTCAGAAATCCAGGGGAGTGAGGTCCCCAAAGTCACAGTCGAAGAGGTCTCTGATGCCCTCGCCCTCCTCAAGGCCGAAGTGGTAGTCGAGGGCCTCGTGCGGGGGGGACAGGCTGATGAACTCCTCGGGGAGGAGGCTGGCGAAGTCCTCCCGCACGTGCTCCAGGAGCGAGTCAGCCGCCACCAGTGGGGACAGGCGGTCCTCTTCCATGGGGGCCCGCAGGCTGCCCATCCGGGAAAGCAGAGGTTCTGGGGAGACGGGGGAGCATCACAGGCCGGGGACACCCCGGCGGGGAGGGCAGAGGGGCTGTCACACCTGCCCACCCACCCGGGAGAGGGGGGCCCCCGTCCCGCCCTGCCCACCCACCCTTCACCCACCTTGCTCCAGGCTTAGCAGGGACTGACTGGGATCCGTGGCTGGGGATGAGGGGGGAGATGATGGCGGTGGTGGCACTGTGGTGGCAGGGTCAGCTGCCCTGTCCTCCTCCCCAGAAGCTGCACCCTGGGACGAGGTCTTCCCGGGGCTGATCCCGCCCGCACTCTCCTCAGGGCACAGGAAAACATCGATGGGGCCTTGTTTGCTCTTAAGGGAGATCTGAAAGGTCTGGGTAAAGGTAGCAGCAGAGTAAACTGAGGCTCAGCTAACTACCAGCCCAGCCCAGCCTGTCCTGTTCCAGTCTAGACTCCCAGGTCTCACCTCTGAGGAGTCCACGGCTTGAAGCTGGGTCTCGGGAGGGGCCTTGATCACCATAACCATCTGTTCTGCAGGGTCCGCAATGCTACGAAGGTCCTGGCAGGTCACGTAGGCCAGGGTTGGTGGAGTCAAGGACCACATGACCTTTGGCCTTTGGGGGCCACCCACTCAGACAGCTCATAAGGCAGAGCCCATACCCGCTGAGTCACTCCTGTCCTCTGCATCTCCCACTCCAGGGCCTGGCACATAGCTGGCACTCAATCCTGTCTCATGCCCCTGAGCCTCAGTTCCCACATCTGTACGAGACCACTCTCTACCCATCAGATCTTAAGGTAATAATGGCTGCCTGCAATAATTTCATATAAATTACACAAATACAGGCTTGGTACTGAGAATTTACTCTGACCCATGACCTTGGTGTCAATTAGTAGTTATCTCCAAAATGTATAAACGTAATTTGGGTATTCACTTAAAAAAAAAAAAAAAGCTTATTTTAAAATAAAGTTTCTATTTTTGTAAATAAAAGACAAAAACTTATATCTCTAACCTTGAAGCTACAACCAGGGACCGAATCACTGTATTGAATAAATGTTTGTTATTGGTACCCTAGCTTTTCTTGTTTCATTCTGTGCAACTTTGGAATAGGATTATTTTCCCCTTTTACAGATGAAGCTGAGACTCAGAGAGTAACTTGTCCAGTGTCACACAGTGACTAAATGCTGCGCCAGGACTGGTATCCAAAGCCAGAACCCTCTCCTGAATCCAGGGCCCAGGGTAGCCTCTCTATTCCCACTTGGATGGGGCCACGGTCACCCTCCAGGCAGTTCAAGGATATCGCTGGCTGTCAGCATCCTCGGAAAGCAGACGCAGCTGCGTGGTACACATGTGGATCAGGTGGTCCAGCTGCCGCTCGCTTTCCTGCAGTTGCTGGAGGTCCTGGGTCAATCCTTCAAGCCGCCCACCGATCCCCACTGCTGCATGGCTGCCTCTGCCGGGAGGCAAAGGGAGGGTTAGCAGCTCCCGGCCCCTCTTCCCAGGAGGCGTGACCCTCAGCAGAACAGTCTGCTGCTGCCTCTGTTCTGTAAGACCCAGGCGAGCCCTTGCTCCTCTTGGCCTGGCTCCTCAGCTGGGAAACAGCAGAGGGCTGAAGCTGGGCTGCAAGGCAGACTGGCCGGGTTCAACGTCGGGCCTGAATCTCTGTGAACACCCATGTGTCCCTCATAGGGGGCTGGATAAGTGAATGAGGGCAGACATACTGTGGAATACTATGCAGTTGTGTAAAAGGACAAGAATGCATTAGATGCAGACATGGAAGCATTTCTAAGACATATTAAGTGAAAAGAAAAAAAAATGATGTAGAGTGGACTATCTACCGAAAACTGAGAACACAGATGTGTCAGAGAGGGGAGTAGGATGACCGGGGAAAGAGGCGAAAAGGGAGAAATAAAATAAGAATTAACAAGAATAAAACAGCTGTGCTAAACACTCTCATCAAGGGCAACAGAAGCCAGAAGAGCGGCCACCTGGGGGTATGAGGCATGGACTGTCTGGGGGGCACAAGGGAACTTTCTGGGGTGCTGGAAATGTTCCTTATTCTTATCGGGATGGTGGTCACCCAGGTGAAGAAATATGTAAAGTTGCACTGAGCTACATAGGTAAGATCTGTGTTCCTGCCTGCATCTATCACCTCAGGGAAGCCAACTTTCCTCTCTAAACCTCGGTTTGCCCAGCAGTAAGATGGTGATCCGGGCAGCCACAGTGGGTATCGCTATCAGCTCCTCCAGGCTGGCCTGGCCCCAGGCCTCCACCCACCCTCCTGTTTGGCTGGTACCTACAGCCACTGGATGTGGTTCTTGGACTTCTTGGCGATGAGCTGGATGCCCTCAAGGACGTTGGTGATGTCATAGATGCGCCGTTTCTGCACCTTCAGCACCTCAGCTGCCCAGTTCAGGTCGACGACACCATCGGCCGAGCGGCTCAGCAACTCCAGGAAGCGCTTGGTAGTCAGATTCAGCGATGTTTCATAGCGTGACTTCTCCCCTGGGGATTTCACACCTGGGGGCCAGGCAGGGTAGGGTCCCTCAGCACCACCCCCACCCCTCAGCCCCAGCCAGGCTCTGGGGGATGGGGCTGGGGGGCAGATGGCTCCTTCCCCTTGGTGAGGCCAAGCAGGGAGGCCCTGTGGCAGCCTGCCAACCACAGTATTCCTCTTCCGGCTGGGGAACTCCCCACCCCCCAGGGCTTGGGGAAGCCATGCCAGGTGGCCACTCCAGCTGCCCCTTGGGGCTCCCAGAGGCCTGGCTCAGGCCCAGGCCTAACAGACCAGAGCTTAGTCTGCAAGCATGTTTGTCTGCCCACACCCCCCCAACCTGGGTCCAACCAGGAGGTCTGCCCTAGCCCAAGCTCGGGGGGTACCTTTTCCTGGGTGGCGGCCTCTGCCCCGAGCTGGCCCACTGCTCTCGGCCAGGTACTGATGGTCAGTTTCCAAGTCCAGCCTCCGCTTCACCTACGGCAAAAACAACGGGAGGATGCCCAGTAACCAGGAGAGTGGGGCCACAAGAGACCTGGCTGAGGGCCTGGTGCTCCCAAGCCGCCCCCTGCCTCAGTCTCTCTCCCAGGATGCCCAAGTGTGTGAGTGAGGGGGAGGTCCCAGGGGACACAATCCTACCCCATAGGACAGAACACTCAACTGGAAGGCAGAAGTCCAAGCCTCAGTTCCACCACCACCTTCTTGGGGGCATGTGGTAGTTTGCAAATTTTTTGATACTCCTCCTTTCAAAAGATGGAGCCTAATTCTCCTCCCCTTAAATATGGGCCAGATCTGGTAACTTGTTTCGAATGAACAGAATATGGTGGACGTGTGTCACTTCTGAGACTGGATCGTACAGGCACTGGAGCTTCCTCCTTGCTCTCTTTATTGGATCATTCACTCTCGGTGGGAGCCAGCTGCCATGTCATGCAGGCACTCAAGCAGCCCTAAGGACAGGCCCAGGTGGCAAGGAACTGAAGTCTCCCCCCCAACAGCAACACAGGTAAGCTCAGAAGCAAATCCTCCAACCCTAGTCATGCCTTCCAACGACTGCAGCCGGGCCAACATTTTGGCAGCAAGCTCAGAAGAGGCCCTGAGCCAGAAGCACCCAGCTGAGTAACCCCTGAATTCCTCACCCCCAGAAACTGTGTGATAATAAATGTTTGTCGTTTTAAGCCACTAGGAAACAGGTCCTCTGAGTAAATCACTGCCTCTCTCTGGTTTCTGACTGTCTGTGAATATGGCAGCACAGTAATGGCCCCATTTTACAGATGAAACAACTGAAACCCAGAGAAGCTCACGGTCATACAGGCAGGAGTGGCAGAGCCAGATGCCCTCTGATTTAGTTACACCACTCGAGGATGGAGATTGCCCTGGAGGTCTCACAGGCATCTCCACTGCATCCTGATGTACCCTCCCCTCCCCTCCCCACAGGGTTTCCTGAGCTAGAACCTGGTTCAGCCCCACCTGCTGCCCTCATCACAACTAGCTGCCAAGAAATCCTGTCACCACAGCCACCAGCACCTCCCACCTGGACCAGCTGTCTTCCCATTGGTCTCCCTGCCTCCATCTGTCCCCCTCCACCTTAGTAACCTCACCTGCCGCCAATTCTCCACAAGAACTTCTGCTGAGACATCTTTCTTCACAAACCTGTGTCTCCAAGCCTTAGCTCATGCTGGTCCCCTCCCTGGTTTGCCCTTGCCTCCCTCCCTCCTAATTCACACCAACGCTTCCCCCTCTGTGGGCAGGCACCTTACCCATAACCTAAGCCTTTCCGATCCCACAAGAGAAACTGAGGCTCTTCTCCCTCAGAACTGCCTCAAACCCAACCTTTCCCCACATGGTCTCTCGCTACAAATTTCTGCAGATGCGTTTGTCTCACCCAGAAGCCAGGGAGCCCCTCAGAGGCGGGCACTGGGTCTAATAGTCTCTGTACACAGGGTCTGGGCATCAACAAACGTTTGCTGAATGAACCACCCCACATGCTGACACTCTCTCTCACGCACACACTCATGGATTCCCTCAGGGATCCGCGGCTAGAAGAGCTAACACGCGCTGAGTGCTTCCTGTGTACCGAGCACCACTAGGTAACTGCTTTACCTGCGTGCGATCATCAAACCCTCCAACCATCTCGCAGCAGGTGCTCTGAGGACTTCCACTTCCTGAGGAGCCTGCACCTCGGAGAGGTCACATAGTGAGAGGTGGAGTCAGGATCTAAACCTTAGTGGGCTGGGCAGAGGCTAGTCCGGAAGCCAGGCTCCCTAAAGCCGAACCAGAATGTACCCCCTCTCCAGCCTTGCCCCTAGGGCCTGAACCCTAGTATGCTCCAGCCAACGGCACCCCTTGCCTCCTTCCTGCTCCCCAAAGGGGTGCCCACCCTGAAGGCAGATCAATGCCACACTCTAAAACAAGGGCTCAAGCAGATGGACGCCCATTTCTGCTGCTGCTCTCTAGAGATGCAGGCACAGGGGCCCAAAAGGCAGGGGTGAAGACAAACAAAACACTGGTGAAAAAATCTGGATGACTCAAACACCTACCCATGGGAGGGGACACAAAAACTGGTTCATCCAGCCTCTGGAATACCACGCTGCTGTCAAGACGGACTGAGGCAGGCTGATACAGAAGCCTCCCAAAGACATATTGACAGCTCATGAAACCATTTTCTCTGGTTCAGTTTCTATTACTACAGAATCCATTTCAGGGGTGACCTCTGTATGGGAGGGAGGAACACGAGGGCCATGTTGCCTTATCTCTAAAGTGTGGATGATGTGCTGCTGGAACACGGACATAAAGGAAAAACGTCAATTTCTAAAACTTTAGAAAGTTGTCATAACAGCCTTAAAAACAAAAGCAGGCTCAGGAGGAGAAAAAAGGAAAAATGGATGGGGCTGGGATCTTGTCCCCCTCAACTTTCTAGCCTTTTAACTCTTTTTCTATAGTAAATGTGTATTATATTTAGTTTGTTTTTTAACAGCCATGACAACAGGGTAGAGGTGGACAGGAAGGGCCAGGAGGAATGGCTGAATTGCACAGAGACTTGTATGCAGGAGGTACTCAATGAATGCTCACTCGTGCAGAAGCTGAGCCTGTCACTTGTTTCAAGGACTGCCCCAAACAAATGCTAGAGCAGGGGGTCAGTGGAGGCCACAGCTCAGATGGCCAGTGGCTACCCACAGGTACAATGTTAGGGGGTGTTGGATGGCAAAAGCTGGGCCTATGTTTCTGGACTTCAGCTCCAAGACCGCACCAGCCCTCACCCCTGCCCACGGCAGAAAACATCTACTGGCTCTTAAGTACTGTGAGGGCAGAGGCTCCTTACTTGCCTGTGCCTAGAACCTCATAGGTGCTCACTAACAACTGCTGAATGAATGGAATGCTCAGGCCCAATGAGGCTGCCCCTGACACCACTGGGGGTGGAGGAGAGGGCATACGTCCTCAGCCCAGTCCCTGGCTGTCCCTCTGAGCCTGAAGCTCAGTTCCCCAAGGGCAGGACCCACAGCCCTGGGCCTGCTAGGTACCTGTCAATCAGCTAAACTGGAGGCTACTTGTCCAGGCTCCAAGTCGGTACCCACAGGGACAGGTTGCTGGGGTACAGGAGACGAGCCAGGTGGCCCACCCCTGGTACAACTTCCCTCCGTCTCACTCATTAGGAGGAAGGGACCCTGGGCTTCCTTCAACCTCTATTAGCATCTCCAGTATGCAAGGCATCCCAGCAGTTAACCACTCAGGAAATCTGGATGGGTCCCAGCACTCACTAGCTGACTTACTAGGGAATGTTCTAACATCTCTATGCCTCAGCTTCCCTATCTGTAAAAGGGGAAGGTTGTTGAAAGGGTGAAATGAGTTAATTGGGTAAAGTGCTTGGCACAGCGCCTAATACACAATACAGTCTCAAAACAATGGTGCCTGCTATTGTTATTATTAGCATCTCGGTGATTCCGGAAGGAAGGCCACACTGGGCAAGGGGCCAAGGGGGTTGGGGGAACCTTGCCGGGATGCCTCAGGGACCAGCTGCCACCCAGGCCATGAGCAGTTGGGCGGCTTCCACCACCTTGCCCTGGGCCCTGCCTCCTCCCACAACTTGCTCCAAGCCCTATGCGGAGACCCCATCCTGCCCATCCATGCCTCACCTTCACCCACAGGTTGTGCCAGTCAAACTGGTCTCCACACCCTGTCCTGGAGCCCACAGGGCCAAGCTCCAGGGCTCCACTCCCTTCTCCCCCTGTAATTCAGCCGCTTCTTTTGGGCCCCCTAGTCTGAACTGTCTTGAGCCTCTTGCTGCTCAGGGAGCACTTTATCAAGGCACCTCCCTGGGGCATTTACTCTCTCCTGGCACCGGGGGCCTCCTCTCCAGCTCCCAGAGGCCCAACCCACCCAGTACTTCCACTGGGGCCCAGGGGTCTGCCTGCCTGATTAATGAGGTTCCATGGCAACCAGGGTCTGGGAGGGTGGAGGATGGCAGATGGAAGGACAGGCAAAGGGAGGGGATCAGCAGCTGGCCCAGCCACTCCGCCCCTGCAGAGAAGGCCTCCCAGCCAGGCGGCCTGTCCCCAGAGGCCCGGAGGGCCAGGCCTGCACCTGGCAGTCCCAGCATCGAGGCAGGAAGGAGGGTCTCCTCAGTGGCTCTTCCATGGTCTGGACCCAGGACGCCCCCCTTGACCTCCCTAAGCAGCCATGCCCACCACCCAGCCACACATTTTGGTCTGAAGCCAGCAGGCCTCAGTTCAAATCTCACTTGCAGCCTTGTGACCAGGGGGCAAGTCACTTCCCCTCTCTGGACACAGTTCAGATGGGCACAGTGACAACACCGAGCTCACAGCATGGATATGAGTTTTAGCTGCCTTGAAGTCTGCCAGAGACCTGGCATGCAGTCAGCGATAGCTGAATACACGTGGGGCAATTATTATCACTGAGTCTGACCCTTGAGCGTCTCTGGCGAGGAAGCTGAGGCCCAGAGCACAGAGCAGCAAACAAGGACTGGCCCGAGGTCACCCTGCACCCCGGGGCGGGGCCCGGAGGACCAACCCAGGCTCGGCACCGCCCAGCCCGGGCGCGTCAGCCCACCCTCCCCCGTCCCAGCTGCCGCCGGGCCAAACAACGCGCCCCGCCAGGGTCTGCGCGGGGGTCCAGGTAGCGCAGTCGGCCCAGTGTCCCTGGTGTCCGTACCGGCGGGCGGCCGAGCGCGGGGCGCGGCGCGCTGGGTGTGGGCCGGGGCGCCTGCGGCGTGGCGAAGAGCAGCAGGTCGGGGTCGCGGGGCCCGGCGGCGGGCGCGGCGGGGCCGGCGGGGGCCGGCGGGGCGCTGGCGTCCTGCGCCGTGGAGATGATGACGATCTGCGAGGAGTCGAGCAGCCGCAGCGCGCCGGCCCCGAGGAGGGCCTCCAGCGCCGGCGCGCAAGGGCCGCCCGTGGGGGCCCCGGCCACGGCCATGGCGCTCACGGCCCGCGCGGCCCGGGTGGCAGTCGGCGGCGGCGGCGCGGGCCCATGGCGGCAGGCCGAGGCGAGGACTCGATCCCGCTCCGGATCCCGCTCCGCCCCCGGCAGCCGCTGCCTGCAAAGTCCCGGCCACTTTTACGCGCCAAATCCTTTTTGCCGCGAAAGAGCCACGAGCCGCCGAGCGCTGCCACCATTGGCTGTCCGGACTGTGACGCAGGCGACGGCGACGGCGCCTATTGGCTGCAGCGCGCCGGACCTGCGGCGGAGGGCGGGACGGGGCGGCGGCGCGAGGCGGTCCGGCCAATCGCAGGACGGGGCGCGCGCAGGCTTTGTCGGGGCGGTGCCAGGCGCGTTCGCACTCCCCGCCCCCAGAGGGGATGACCCCTGTCCGAGGAGGGGGGCAGCCAACCGCTCCCCGACGTACCCCATCCTGCTGATGCCTCTAAGTGGAGACAGAATGTCCGTTCTGCATATGTCACCGTCAGCTGACCCCACATGACCCCCAGAACCCCCCACCTGTGGCCCCAACACACTCAGGTCAGATCTCTAGAAACTGCCCCTCCTCTTTTCTGGGTTCTCACCTCCAAAACCCCAGCCATATCTCCCTTCCTCAACTTGCCCCACCAATGCCATTCACTTTAAAATTCTGCACCCACCCTATCCCTCTCACCCAGAGTCCAAGCAGAAGATGGGGAGGGATGTCTGACTCAGTGCAGCTTGGGGCCTTTCTACAAGCCCTCCTGTAGCTGGAATCTCTTCAACACCCTATGCACAGCTTCTGCTTAAACTGATTCATTCACTCATTCATTCAACAAACGTTTTGAGAGCCTGCTCTGTGCCCCATTCTTGACTCCTGGCCCTAAGGAACTCACAGTTTAGTGAAAAGGGGAGGAGGGAAATAGAGAGGTAACAAATGTTTACAATATGATGTGGAATTTCCACTATTAAAGTAATTCCAGGGGGCTTCCCTGGTGGCGCAGTGTTAAGAATCCGCCTGCCAATGCAGGGCACACGGGTTTGAGCCCTGGTCCGGGAAGATCCCACATGCCGTGGAGCAGCTAAGCCCGTGGGCCACAACGACTGAGTCTGTGCTCTAGAGCCCACGAGCCACAACAACTGAGCCCTCCAGCCACAGCTACTGAGCCTGCGCGCCTAGAGCCCATGCTCCACAACAGGAGAAGCCACCGCCATGAGAAGCCCGCGCACCGCAATGAAGAGTAGCCCCTGATCGGGCAACTAGAGAAAGCACGCGCGCAGCAATGAAGACCCAATGCAGCCAAAAATTAAAAAAAAAAAATAATTAAAATAAATAAATAAATAAAGTAATTCCATGTTAGATCTAACAAAGGGAGAAGGTGAGTGTGCTGAGCATGAAAATGCATCTAATCCAGAGGCCCTGGGACCTCTCCATCAGCCGTTTCTCATTGCTCAGGTCAGCTGATTTGACCAATATTGTCCTCTCCTCTGTGCCAGGCTTTGTGCCAGCACTGAGGGCAGAGATGTGAAAGGTTTGATGATTTCTATGAACTTGCCTGCCATCTGGTGGGGATGACCCATCAAAAGAAAAAAAAAGTAGCTAAGACGCAATCAAGAATGAGATCCCTAGGCCCGGCATAAAGATCCCTTCTTCCAGGGAGCCCTCCGCAGTTGGAGCTAGCTCACTTCCTCCATTGCCCAGCCTAGCCTCTGTTCTAGCACTGAGTGCACAATGCATTTCTCTCTCTGCCTCCCCTATCAGACTGGGAGCTGCATTAGGGCCTCTTCCCAGCACTGGCCTGGTCCAGAGCAGGTGCTGAGAAGGGTTATTAAAGAAATAGAGACTGATGCTAGAGGCTACCTGGAATGCAATGAGAAGGCCCTGGTTCTCCAAGAGTAGCCCTTAGGCCCCCGGTTCCAGAATCACCTGGGTGCTTGTTAACTATGGGCCCACCCCAGCCCTGCCAACTTAGAATCTAAGTGCCTAGGAATCCTCATTTTCACATGCAAACCCCCACCCCAGCCCTGCCAACTTAGAATCTAAGTGCCTAGGAATCCTCATTTTCACATGCAACCCCCCACCCTCATTCCAGGTAATTTTTATGCATGTTCATATTTGACAACAAATTGGTATTCCTGTATAACCAAAATGTATGGGGCAGCCTCGAATTACAGCCCCTATGGACACTTCTTAGCCTCAGTTTCCTCATCTGTAAAATGGGCTTATTGGGCTTCCCTGGTGGCGCAGTGGTTAAGAATCTGCCTGCCAATGCAGGGGACACGGGTTCGAGCCCTGGTCTGGGAAGATCCCACATGCTGTGGAGCAATGAAGCCCGTGTGCCACAACTACTGATCCTGTGCTCTAGAGCCCGCGAGCCAGAACTACTGAACCCACGTGCCACAACTACTGAAGCCCGTGCACCTACAGCCTGTGCTCCGCAACAAGGGAAGCCACCACAATGAGAAGCCCGTGCACGGCAACAAAGAGTAGCCCCCACTGGCCGCAACTAGAGAAAGCCTGTGCACAGCAACGAAGACCCAACACAGCCAAAAATAAATAAATTTATTTTTAAAAAAAGGGGGGGGGGCGCTTATTGCCCTGGCGCCTTCCAGGGTTGCCATGTGGATGAAAAGTATAGGTGTTTCATAAACTATGAGGTGGCTTAGGAACGCAGCAGGAATTTCCTAAGCAGTTTGTGAAATTACTCATCGCAAATCCCAGACTATGTCAGCACTAGAGGGGACCAGAGAGACTAAATAAGCCTCTCACTTATGGTACAGAAGGGAAAACTGAGGCCCATTCAGAAGTGAAGCCAGCCAGTGATAGAATCTGGCCAACATGGATTCCCAGCCCTGGGCCTGGCCTGTCCCCCTCCTTTCTCCCTAGTTAGAGAAGCTCCCATAAGAATGGTAGGTCTCATTCTAAATAGCCAAGCCAGATCCTGACGAGAGGGTGAGAGAAGCCAGCAACATTCCCACTCCAAAGGGAATTTCCTTCCTTCACACATTCCCAAAGGGTCTCAACAACAGTAACATTCACTCTGTAAAGCCCTCTCATGCCCAATAGTCATTCAACAAACATTTCTCGGGCACCTGTTATGTACCAAGCACTGTACTGGTTGCTGGAGAAGGAAGACAGATACTACTGCCCCATTTTATGATGAGCAAACTTGAGACCTAAAAGGCATGAGCTTACCTAGCGGATGAGAGAGCTATTATTCAGGCTCCGTGAGGCAAAAGCCAGGGGTTTTTCAAAGCCCTGCCCTGCCCAAAGTATTCAAGTACACAACCTCCCAGGTAGAAGCAGGTGCCCTCCTTCCCACAATCCCTCCTGTCCTGCTGCAGCAGAAAGGAGTGAAGAGCAGAATTCCCAATGTGAAATCCAGGAAGAGATACGGGCCTTCTGTATCTATTAATACCCACTTGAAAACAGCAAAGGCCTGATAGATAGAGCCTCTTGGCCCCAAGCCCGACAGATCCTGATAAGGCTGTTCTCAACAGTTCTCAGGCTGGTAGGCTTCCAAAAAATCCATAATTACTGGGCAGCCACTTCCACTGATGATCTCCTTTCAACCTGATACTCTCATAAGTGAAGCTTGTTTATCCACATGGTGCAGGATGGAGGCTCAGAGAGGGGCACTTGCAACACAAGGTCACACAGCAGAATTGAACAGTCTCCCACTGTAAAACCCAGGGCCTGCCCTTCATACTCACCACCCTCTGTAAATACCCCAGAACCAGGCTCAGGGCTGTCAAGATTATTATGTGTGGTTTCCAAAACGTATTATGGTGGATAGTGGCTTAATTAATAGGTGCTCACCTCCATCACCAACTCCTTACTCCAGAGGAGTCCAAAGGAGTGGAAGCTCCTGGGCCCACAATCCTCCACCTGAACACATCTTTCCAAGAGGCAGGATGGTAGAGGAGTGATAGCATGGGCTTCTAAATCAGGTGGATGTAAACCGGAATCCGAGTCTGTGTGACCTTGGGCAAGTCAATTCACTTCTTTGAGCCTCACTCATTCAATCCACAGATATTTACTGAGCACTTACTATGTGTCAGATATTGTGCCAGGTGCTAGGGAGACAGTTGGAAGCAAAACACTCATCTCTGACACCTGGAGCTCACAGTCCAGTGGGAGAGTCAGAATTATTTCTCTGTATCTGCACAATATGCTCATTAAGAAGTTTGACAAGCGACACGAATAGTTCAAAGCTATTTATTCCACACACACCACCTCCCCTAAACGTACATTCATAGCGTAAAAAAAAATCTCCAAACATGAACATCCCATTAGGATAAGGAGAAATGATTCTGTCGTGACTTAATTTTATTAAGGGGCACAGAGGCATCCATTGTTGAGTTCTGGCAGAAGGAGGTGGGGAGTTTTATGTCTGCAACGTTACATTCATCTTGAATGATCCCTTGTCACTACACTGAATTGTTTGACTGACGGTTTACTGTCCCTGGAGTAAACTGTCACTGTGCCAGTTCTGGCTGTGTCTGTCACTGTGCCAGTTCTGGCTGTGTCTGAACACAGGCCTCTTACCCATTCGGGAGGCCGTCTAACATGGGAGCAAGCCTTGGGAGTCAGGCAGACCCCAACCGTGTGGCTTGGCCAGATGGGTAAGTGATTTACCCCACTGAAGACCTTTGCTTGCCTCATCCATAGAACAAGGGGCAAAGGCTCCTTGACAGAATGGGTGTCAGGGTTAAATGAGAAAACAAGACAAGCAGGGT